CTCCAATGCAAAGCTTCTCTACGTCTGATTGTTGCGGAGTAACACTTCGCAGCATACCAAACATCGTGTCCACCGTATTCTAACCATCCCACCGTGGCTTCAACGAAACATGCACGGCAACTGAACCCTCACCCACAAAAGAAACCAACCCTACTGAAACGGCATCCCAACACAAATCGCAACCAACACAGCCACCCAGAGACGACCCTCCCCGATGCTGCGGAGGATACACGGACGCTCGTCCGATTTCGGCACGTTCACAAATCCACCCATATGCGACCCTGCGAGCAATACGACTCCCACCTGCTGTTCGGCCGATTGTTGATATCCGTCAGATCTTTCGAAGCGCTCTGGTAAGCCTAAGTGCATTTTCCCACACAGACATAAAGTTCTTCACTGCAAGCAGACATGATTGAGTCCACCTGCCAACACCAAACAAATCGTCATCGACTACCCAACACGCCATCACAAATTAAATACGACACTCCTCCCGCGCACACCCTCCGGACTACTTCCTTACGCCACTTCCACCACTTCCAATGAACGTGCTCACCTTCCACCACGTACCTTGTTCGAACCAAGCGGTAAACATAAACGTTATGCTCTGCGGACACCTTTCTCGGAGACATGTCAGAAACGGTGGGAAGGCGCTACGCCTCGGTGAAGCACGTGCCTGATCAGCATCCAACGAAAATACAAAGCTCACATCTTGTCACCATAACTGCTATCACCCCAAACTAGCACACCTCCCAACTTCACAGTTGCATCTACGTAGCTTAAACATGCACTCAACACTTGTACTGGAATATAAACGAGGTCGTGCTCGTCAAGCCTTGCACCTACCTTGACTACTGCAGACTGATCTTGTTGCAGTTTGTTTACCAGGATAAAGGGTCACCCTCACCCTGATTTCTCTCATAAGGAACACCAACGCTGCTTGGAACTGCCACGCCTGCACTCGAGCCCACCTGCAGCAAGAACGACTTCGTTGAAGGAACGAACACCTCGTTGTAAAATCTTATTATGTCCCCTGTCTCCTGCCCTGCTTTCTGCACGACCATGCCACACGAGATCAGCGTCACGCATGCACACCCACTTCCATAACAGCTCACTCCCGATAACCCTGTAACCCTGTACAACCACCTTCTCCTATCCCCCAACACCTTCACCATGCAAGGGCCCCGAACACCTACCCCGGATCTCCACACAACCGACCCGTCAAGGAGCACGTTGCGGAACACATACGGCTTGCACTGCGGCTGCTTCCTGTAGTGGTAAATGATATCTCGAAAAGTCACGTTCACTTTGCTCACCTGCACGCTCCACCACACACGCCGCTTCTCATCATCCCCACGCCCAAGTTTCACCATCAAATCAATTCCACCTCTTCATCACTCTCCAATGTGCCAAACTCAACAACAAAACTCCTGTGCTCTACCCACACCTACTTGCTGCGCCCACCAACACTCCGAACGCTTTCACGTACCTTGCAGATACCGTACACACAGCACAGGATGATTTGGTCGATGTGCCGGTTGAAGAATAGACCTGTTTCGTGGTTCAGAGCATGATGCAACGCACGGTTCACACGTTCTACCACCTGCTGCGACTGTTGCAGACGTTCACACAAGTTCCGAATCCGAACAGCAGCCAGCTTCAACACCTGCCCACACATTCCACCTAACATTGTTCAGGGACCCCTCCTGGATCGGACAACTTCCCTACTGCAACAACTCCCGTGCCATTCCTCTATCAACCGACGCCACTCCAACACATCCCTGCCACCGCCGCCACCGAACTCCTTACACAGACACACTGCGTGCCACTAACGACAGCGCTGACGAGCCACGCTTGTACAATACGGAACAAACGACAACATCTCACAGGCAAGGGAAACAACTGACAATGCCCCCGATGTGCTCCCTGCCACATAAAACATCACCTAGGGACTCGTCCCCAGCTGCTGTCCTTTCTCCTGTAATCAGGGTGCACCAACCCCCTTGTCCTTACTCGCACTAACAGAAACCCCCAAATACCTTAACTACAAACATCTAACGCACGCCTGGTATTCTCTCTCAATCATTCCCAAAACGCCCTGCTTCACATGCTTCCATTCCCTCTCAAGGCAAAACCTCTCAGCTCAGCACAGCTTTCTAATGAATCCGCATTCATTCCAAAACCGCTAACTTCCCCGCAGACCATCCTTCGCCTCGCATGTTTACCTTCTGAAAAAAAACATTGATGCAAGTCTCTGCACAGGTTTCGCCTCCAGCCTGCGGATTCGGCCTTTGGGGGCTGCACACAAAACACGCATTCTCAGTGTCGCGCCGGACCACCCAACTAACACAACCTCTCGTACATACAGTGCACTGTACAAAAACTTTGATCCACGGCGCCTCTCACCACCAATACAAACTATCCACCGTCATACCACCGGATCTCCCCAACGTACACTACCATGAAAAACCTCTTGCAACCAACTTTAACGCGAAAATCAAAACAACCAACACATAGAACCTCGCCTACACTACTCCACACAAACCTTCAAACCACAACTGCAATAGCCACGGCCGTACGTACCTTGCAAAAGCTAGCAGCAGCGGCGGCATTGCCCGGCTCTTCTGAGGAGAACTGAACGCCGTGAATGCAGAAGGACCTCTCGCTGGTGACATGAAACTCGCGCTCTCACCTTGCTCTGCGCTGCCACCTGTTGCACCCGCATTGCCTTTCACGGCTGTCATTGACCCTTGCCGAGGTGGCGAGGCTGCTCCCCCTTTCGATTCCCCTGAAGGTCACAAGATCTCAACGTCGTCAGCATGCCCACACCAAGTAAAGATTCTGCGCACTACTACCCGCTCACAGCAGCATCAACCCCCACACTAACTTCGATGCACTGCCCACAATCAGCCAACTGCGAAGGCCAGTACATCACGCCCCAAACCAGTCAACACCCAACCGTACGGATATAACAAGATGCTCGCACCATAGCATCCGTCCCTAGCACGCAGACTTCACTGCCTCCTCTAACCACGAGACCACCATCGTACCAAGCGCACACAACATCCTCACCTGCTGGGTCGTCCACTTTGGAACCTCCGATGCGCCCATCCGCCGTATCCACTGGAGAACGTTGCTGCGCTTTCGAGGTATCCAAAGCTGGCATGGGCTCCGCCATCAACTTCAGCCGGTTGATCTCCGGCGCAAGATTTGCCTTCGCGATAGCAAGAGAGTTGAACATCGAAGACCCCTTCTCCCAAGCCATGCTTTCCAGAAGTCTCTCCTCGATAGAATTCAAGTGCCGTTTCAGCTCCCGAGGAAGAGTCTCCTCGTGCCGCACGAACCCTTCAATCACTTTGCTCAAATCGAACGCGGTTATCCCTGCTGGCTCCAGCACCGCAGGAAACGTCATCGTCACGGTTTTATGACTCGCTAAAACCAGTTCTGCCGAGCACGCAAGCATGCACCGATGAAACCGCTCATTCGGCAGAAACGGAAGATGCTCGCTGCGCAGCCGATGGGATTCCGCCGTGCACATGGCCCCCAAAACTTTGTAATACAACTTCAACGCTTCCAGCCTGCGCTGATCGCCCCACATGCTGTCCGAAGTTCCCGCCTCTCCCGCTCCTCGCCACTTTCGGGCCTCAAAGATGCCTCCAAGAATTACGTTCGCCCTCACCTTCATCTCCGACGCGATGTTCCGCTCAAAAACCCGCAAGTACCGCTCCAACTCCGGAGATGGCTCTGCCGACAACGGTGCTATCACAGTGCGCAGCCATTTAGCTGTCGTCATAGTAATGCTAACAGGTGTGGGAGGGGGTTTACAGGTACTACCACCCGCTACGCCTCCCATTACAGCAGGCGATGACTCAGGTGAACCGCATGGCGACGAAGGCGATGCCCCTGATGATACTGCACGCCCCTGTCCCGCTGAAGTTACTGCGTCGCGCTTCCTCTGCGAAACTCACACAACCCGTCAGTCAACTGCTCACATTCCCGCGCTGGTGCACAGAGAAATGCGGGTGCACTGATACCAATGACTCACATTCAAACACCATTGCCAACGTTGCAATTTCCATGTACAATCCGAAAACTAGGCACCATGGAAGGATAGGGTCTTCACTACCATGTACCGCATAACCAAACCGGACTGAGCTACCTCCCCTACTGCCAAACCAAGTCTCCAAGCCCACCCATTCCCTCCAACTACAACATCAACCCACTTCAGCTATTCTTCCACCCAAACAACACCGCAAATTATGCCCCACGCAGCGTGCCAGCCTAACCCCATCATTCAAACAACATCGCTTTCAACTGCACCACCATTACCTTCACCCCACACACACTTGTCGTGCTGCTGCTCGACACAGCACCTATCAAGCTGTCTTCACCATTGATGAACATCCTTTCATCCAGTTCTCCCCGACTGCGATACCACCCATCGTAATCTTCCTCCAGAATCACCAGATTCGATGATATTTGCTCAACCTCCATCAAGCCCTCAAAGTATGTCACGCCATCTGCAAAGCTCCCCATCATCAGATCTATGCAGGGACCCTCCTGACAATCGCTTTGCTCCACGCAGTCACCCATGCCCAACCAACACCCACTGCAACTGCCCTAACCACTTTCACAAACACGACCAACCAGCACCTGGATTCATCCCGCCAATTTGCGGGATGTCGCCAC